TTCGGCTTGGCCAAGTTTTAACTTTTGCAGTTGCAGTTAATCTGAAAATCTGAAAGTGATCACTGGAATAGCGTTGACTGGTTCATTTCCTGAATCCATTTCAGTTAGACTTTCACGAACAGTTTCGCACAGATATTAGTTGTGGCAATCACAATAAAAAAAATCACTTTGATAATGGGTTATGTGTCCTAAGTTATTTGGTTGGTTTTTAGGTAGTTAGGCCGTCGTAAAATATTTTTACTTGACGTTTCGCCAACACAAGTGGTTGGCATCTTCAGAAGGCGTTCACAGTTCGGAGTTCTGGGTCCTAGGTGACAATTCGCAACTTCAGTTTGGAGTTCAAAAATTGCTACTGAACTACAAGGACCAACTACAACGACGAATGACCGACGATACATCTCCCGGGTAAGGCCTTACAAGCTAATCAGCTAGGTGCAAAGTTATAGGTTTTATGGATAATAACAAAAGTTATTCATTCGTGAAGTCTCGAGGTTAGCTCCTAAATATTGTAATTAGCTTTTACGATCCTGCGCGTGAGGTTGCACGATTTAGTCTAGCATCAATAGAGAATGGAATTGTAGTGTTCCTTTTTTTTGACTAGGAATGCATTTAGGATCATCCTTGTCTGTTAAATCTGCTTTAGCTTCTATGAAACCTCCACCAATTTTGTTTCTAAGGACCTTACCTTTTCCAAAAACGCTGGAACAAATTCTTGGGTGTTTTGGTTATTCTTCTGTCAAGGGACCCTATCTTAAATGACTTAATCCATAAATATGGTCGCTCTTTGAACAAAAGTTTGGAGGATAGCAGGAACTTCAAACAATGAACATGTTACTGCTCCCTCTCATTTTAAGCAATCTATCACCGCACAAAGGCAGACTTTTCATCAGTTCCTCATAAATAGCTAAATAACAACAACAACTTCGAACAGATTTCCGACAATTTACACCAAGGACTTACAACAAATCAGCAAATATAGTCGAGTTAATTCGAATTGAGATAAATGGCAATATGTTTGTTGGTGTTAATGTGGCGGATATGTCAAAGCACAATAGCAGCAGAATAGGCACAAAAGTCAATCAGAATTGTAAATTGTCCATATAACAGTTAATTAATGGAAGAGGGTAGATTTAGTGAAAGAGCGGGAGGGTGCTCTCTATCCGCGAAACGTATGATATCTCTCAGAACACTATATCCATAGAAAATTTCCAAGTAAAAATCTTCCAAATTTCAGGGAAAATCCCCCAACATGACAACCCTGTCAAAGCACCACTGGTACTCCAGACGTGGTGATAACAGACTGAACTGACATTCACGTTTGTATACCATAGATGGCGCTGTTTGTTCTTGGTAGCCTCCAGGCAGTAAATTATAAAAAAGAAGCCGATTATATAGCGTCATATGTGTTGGTGAATCTATAGAGTTGAAGGGTGTATGTAAAGCTGGGCACACACGCTCATAATTTGCATAGCAGCCTGGTTTACTAGCTAGTATGGATATTCACATTCATAATTTCGCCACTGTGTGATCTGTACGAATATTTTGGTGAACAAATCATAATCAGGTCCCTCTGTGTCACTACCCACACTCCGCCGATACACGACGCGAATCCGTACTGAAAATATCCCAGCGTTTGAAAAGCTTCATTACAGCCAGGGTCCTTGATTTATTACCTTTCATCTTTCACTCATAAGCAATTCGTCTATGAAATGCTCAAGTTGATGATTCCTTTATTACCAATGGCAAGGGTGGAAGAAGTTGCGGCGGTTTTTGAAATAATAATATATCATCTTTCCTATTTTTTAATCGTCATAACACAAGAGATGAAAATATGAAATATACACACTCCTTGAAGTATTTTGACAGGTACTATATGCTGTATTTTCATATAGTTGGCTACAGTGACATCTACGAGTCACAAATCTTAGTATATACATATAGAGAAACAGCTGTGACAAATCATCATAGATGATGCTATGGTGCCTCATTCTATCTCAAATATTTTTTTGGTCACGGGAATATAACATTAAGTTGGCTATCTTCAGGTAGAATCCGTTAATGAATTGTGATAACCTAGAATTATTTTGAAACCGCTATAGGTCTATTCTTAAGAGGAAGTTCTTTTTCTTCTTCTTTGTGAAATATAATACGAGTATTATCGAAGGAAAGTAAGCATTCAGGCAGTTGGAGACATGAATAATGACCGGGTACATTCAAATCTGATATCATAGAATCTTGTCTTCAAAAACTATATTGACTGCGAAAATATAATTGATCTATCTGTATTCATTCCACATATATATATATATATATATATATATCCATTTCCCTCGCCCGATCCCAACCTTTTTTGTTCTCTGATGACATTTTAACACACTTCAGCACTTCATCAGGAAATGGCGGCAGGCGGCTTGATATTTTGTCTATAATCGCATTATACCCTGTAATGCTCTGTGAAATAAATGATGAGTTTGTGGAAGCTGTGACAATGATTCGAAAACTATGGAAGTGTATTGGTGGAGCGCACACAAAATTGTTGTGAAGGCTCTTACAGTATAAAGCAAAACAGAATGTCATATACAATTTAGAAATCAGATCTTTATATTTCTAAACATCAGGTAATTGAGTAAACCGTTATCACATCGATAAAAATGCATGAGAAACCTGCTGTCTCATAAGTTGTAAAGTACAGGTAAAAAAATCTTTCTGGGATAAAATGCCGTTTATCATTTGAATATGTTATGAAGATATATGATTATTTATTTGCGCGCATTCCAGTAGATTTACGATAACAATTAAATTAACCGATTTATGAAAATTTTTGACAGTGGATCTGGCAGTCCTGCTTTAAAAATGACTCTATACGCGGATAGTTACTGAAAATAAAGAGAGCAGAAACACATCGCTCGCCCATGTTAACACGGCATCTCTTTGAATACGGAATACCTACGCGCCGACTTTGACAATTCAAAGAAATTTTGTGATGGCATAAGCGTGCGATGTATTCTGCGGCTCTCTTTATTTTCTTAATATGTACTATAAATATGTAGTCGGTGCGCTCTTTTAGGTAACATTGCAATCAAATAAAAAGTATGGCGGTTGATGTGTTCTGTCTGCCATCCCTTCTACAATGGCATTCTGTTATTATTAAGGCTAGGTCTAGCACGGCAGGCCACAGCATATAGCTATCTGATAAATTGATGAATATACAGCGTGAGTTTTTTGTGAGGGCCCGATAGATAAGCTCCGTTTTTACTCACGGTATCTGAAAAAGATAATTGCAAAAATTGTAGCCAACAGTATGCTGATTATTTGGAAAATATGTTACTTCTACAAGGTGTTTCATAATTACGTGGTAAAACAAACATACTTTTTTAACTTTGTTACCTACCGATTTGGATAGACCATGCCAAATGAAGCATTTTGATGTAACAGGGTTATATTTTCAAATTGTTGAGATATTGGGCAATCTATAGGAAAAACACTCAACATTGACAACTCGCACCTACGAACTGTTCTAGCTAGAGAACTGAATTTTCTCCCAGAAACTTTCTTTCTATCTATTTACACTTTTCAATTTTTTAGGTAGTTTATACAGGGCGGTGAAGAATGCAAAATAATCGATCTCTCAAAGTTTTTAAATGTTACACCCAGTATATTTTCATACTATGTGATTCCCCTTTCCACAGACTTCTATCTGATACAGGATTATGGAGCTTTGTAGAACTGATTTTTAAGTTATTAAAATATAGGGACAGCTCCTTGACTTTCCGGTTTTATTGTATAACATTAGGTAGACTAAATTTATATTGAAAATACATACATTTTAATCATCTGCCATCACTAACTGAACGCTATTTTTATTCTGAAAGGTTTTGTAATATTTGCATTCATCTTGATATCTGATTCATCAGCAGGTTAACTGTAACTCAAAAACCATTCGTGCAAACTCCCATAAACATTATATCGAAAAACAACTTGTGATAAGGGGAACCCAAAAAGTGTGAGAATATATGGGTGTTTTATTTGAAAATTTTGATGAACCGTTCATTTAAAAAAATCTACACCCGTAAGTCGATAAGAAAATTTGGAGTCATGAAATTCTTCTAACGAAAAAGTCAGTAGCTAGCTGTAACAGCTGCGGAGGTGCGGGTTATCAAAGTTGTTTTTTTATCGATTGCCAAATATTTCAACAATTTAGAAAGAAAACCCCATAGTACAGAGTGTTCTAAAAATAGACGGAGATATTTTAGAGGGTGATTCCTTGTTAAGTAATATGAAAAAAGTTTCTATAAACATGGGTCCAGAAAAGCCGAGTTTTCAAGATACAGGATGGTAAATTAAAAAAAATTAATAATATCTTGAAAAATATTCGCTCGATCCTGTTGAGATTTTGCAAAATTATTCATAGTATTAAGAGGCATATTATGGGAAAAGAATGTACGTCACTGTCTTTTTTGTAACTTTAATATTAGTTAGATTAAGCATCTAAAAATACAACTTCTTTGCTTCTTTTATTGCATGTCACTGGACAAAATTGGCTTATGAATTTTTGCTAAAAAAAGTGCCTTTGAAAACAAAAAATCATTTCGGCATGGAGGTTGGACATTGGCACATCCGTTCCAATTTCAACAGAATCAAGTAAATAATTTTTAAGATATAATAAAAAAATATTTCTTAGGTTTCACCTTGTATCTTGAAAACTATGCATTTCAGGACCCATGTTTATGCAAACTTTTTTTCGTTTTTTTAACAAAGAATCATCCTCTAAAATATCACCGTCTAATTTCGAACACCCGGTATGTTACTTCAAATTCCATTTCATTTAGAAAAATATATATTTGGGTCACCACGTACTTAAGTATCACCCTGTAGAATTAAAAATACCTACCAAGTAAGGCGCATACTATTGTCTACAATTTTGTCAATTATCTATTTTAGTAATAACGAAGTTCTCGTCCGAGCAACAGTATTTATAAAACGTGTTTCTTTTGTTACAGCACAGAACAACTTCCAGCTGCAGTGAGCGCCGCAGGTTCAGCGCGGACTTCAGCTTCGTGCAGCTTAGCGTCTTCAAGAGAGTCCTCCACTTCCGCCCCTCCACCATCACCATATAAAGTCCTCATGTTGGGAGGACCAGCCGTGGGCAAATCAAGCTTGGTCCTACAATTTATGACTTCGGAGTACCTACATGCTTACGATACAAGTATAGGTAAAAATATTCTGACTCAATCTGACGGATAAGAAATTAAGTGCGGGTATTTTATATCAGGGAGATGTTCGTCTCGTTACGAATTCTGGCAACAGCGCTGAATAAGGATGGAGTAGCCTCACGAAATAAGCCCTCCCTTATTCACTGTAACTAATGGAGCTTCTCATGATAACAGAGAACGAAAGATTGTCTCGCTACTGCGCAAAACCAAAATAAGGAAGGACACAACTATCTAACGTCTCCCTTATTTTCCGACTCTAGCGAAGCTTCTTATCCCGATAACGGTGAACGAAAGATTGTCTCGATACTGCGCAAGCCCAGAATAACAAAGAGCATAACGCACAATAAAAGTACTAGCTTATCTCTAATAATGCGTGCAGATTATTCAGCCACTAACCATTATTAGTCCCATTTTTGGGAGATTTATATCAGCAAGTCAGCAAGCAGAAAACCTACTTCAATTTTTGTACATGGTGGGCCATTAAGTCGAGCGGATTTTGAAAAATCAGAAAAAAAACACAAAGCGCACTAAAGATAATTTATATTTTTGATAAAGTTAACACGTGGGAGCTTAGCTTTTAAAAATAACATCATTGAGAGATGTGAGCCACACACTCCTCGAATCTAGACTTCAAATACGTAAACGCTCGCTGACGCACTGCTTGTGGAATAGCGGACATCTCCTTGCGGATTTAGTTTTCGAGCTGCTCAATCGTCATCGGATTATAAACGTAAACGCGATTCTTGAGGTATCCCCAGAGAAAAAATCCAGTGGTGTGAGATCTGGGCTCCGGAGAGACCACGAATGTCTCTTTCTTGCGATGTTCAGCATTTCGTTTATAACTGCCATAGACTCGTTAGCTGCATGAGATGTCGCGTTATCTTGTTGAAACCAGGTCCTGCTGTTGTATTTCTGAAAATTATGGAGAGAAATAGTTATGTAATATTGATGAGTAGAGATAAGACTGGTCAGTTACAGTCGGGCATCGCTCATTTTCGAAGAAATAGGGTCTGATGATTCCTGCAGCCGACATGGCTGCCCGGTACTGGTAATTTTGCTTGTTAACAAATCCACTTAAATGGAAATGAGATTCATCAGAAATGAGAATATTGATCAAAGTTTGAAAGCGCTGTTTCGGCAAAAGCACGGCGTAGATGGTGATCATTCGGTTTCAGTCCATGCGCTAATGTGAAATTTAATATATTTTACCAAAATATACCTTAAAGATGTTCTTGATATGGCGAGCTCAGCTGATCTCTTTCGGGATGATAACTAGGGATCACGCCGTATGGATGTCGAAACTTCGCTTACAGTATCCTGTGTTTGTATTGACCTTGGACCAAGTTTCTGATCATGTGTCGGACCGATAGACTCGAACTGTCTGACCCTCAACCTGATCACACTTTCACTAGGACACTGATTTAGATCATCCAAGCTAAATTCAGAGCCAAATAGACGTCGCGCAATATTGCCCGAAACTCCATTTTTTTTTAATGAGCTTTTACACAAATGTTGCTCACCGGTATGATGCTCCATAGCGACTAAATTTCCGAGTACCAAGCTACTCATCCACACTACCCGCGCCCCGCTTTCGCGTGCCTGTCACGACCTGTATGGCTTTGAAATTCGTACGCCTTTCTGGTCCATCTTGTATATCTATAAGGCTGGGCGCATACATTCCTTTTCCGCGTTTCATTTCCGAATTCGTTTTCCGTATTCGGAGACCCGAATGCATCAAACGCTAATAAAATACATTGATTGCCGCACACGTTCGTTTTTTTTTTCGAACGGAACACATTCCGTACGTACGTTTCGGAAGGGATACAATCTAATGACGTCACGCGGAACGCAGCACTGGCATACATTTGTAATGTACCGCCCCACATAGTCGGAAATGTCTATCTAGAACCTCGCAGTGACGCGTTTTGGACGTCACGTCGTTAGGAAGCAGAAGAACTAACATTGGCTGTCGAAAAGCACTCCTGCTTGTGGGATATTCATGACGAGGACTACCACAATAGAGATGTCAACGATTTGGCAAGGGAGCAAGTTTTCAAAGAGGTTATACAGGATAGCAACTCGTGCACTGACATGGAAAAAGAAAACAAGAGTAAAATTTCTTTTATTTCACTTTTATTCCAAAGATTATTGCCTTCTGTACTTTTTGGGCCGATTTCACCAACATTAATATTATGGACCAATAGGAAAATATCTTATCGAAATGCAATTTGACGCAAGCTGTCAAAGGTGTCAGAATATCAGTGATTTCTATTAAAATGTTGAATAAAATCGTGAAAATTCGACTGTATTATAAACAAGACCACTTTTTGATTCCAACATGATGCTTTTGTACAGAGAAAACAGGACAACTTTCATGTATTTTGATTTATCTTATAGGTGTACATTTGACCATCCGTTATCCCCTCAGCGAATGGGAATGGGAGAAATAATAGGTCGATTTTCTAGCTGTTCAATTTTTTAGCAGGTTTGGTCGTTTGTTAATTCATGGCAATCTCGAAATTTGTTAAGTTCAATATACTGTGTGTATATGTGATCATTATAGCTACACATACCTGTTGCAAGAAAATAGAATATAAAATGTCTTCCAACCAATTCCTCATCTCTCTTTACAACATAATAGTAATCATTTGTGATAAATTCATGGGTTAATGAATTTCTTCAAAGCAATCAAAACAGTGTGACCGTCCCCATCCTAAAACACCGATATGTGTAAAACATGTTAATCCCTACATCTCCGAGGTGCATAATGCAATTACTGTAGACATAGACCTAAAACTATTAGTAATTACTGAAAAATAAGAGCTAAAAATGTGCTTTTTTTAGATCATATCTGACTGGAAGATCTCAGCTTGTTAGTAGTAATAATAAACAGTAAGAAATTAAAGGTGTAAAGTATGGTGTCCCTCAGGGATCCATACTTGGACCAATACTTTTTTCCCTTTACATTAATGATCTTTATTACTACTTATTACCAGATATTTGTGTATTGTACGCAGATGACACCACCCTTATAAAGAGTCACAAAAACATTCATATATTACAAAGCTTATCTAAACAGCTTGAAGAAAAGGCAAACAACTGGTTTAAACAGAATAGCTTATGCCTAAACTCAGACAAAACTAACAGGCTAGTAGTAACTAGTAACTCTTCTCTCGCAGAAAACAAATGTGTAAAATTGCTTGGCATAACAATTGATAGCTCACTAAAATGGACAAAGCACATTGAAACCCTATGTAGCAAATTAGCCACAAACATATTCTTACTACGCAGACTAATAGCTTGCCTTAGTAATGAATGCCTTGTTAGTGTTTATTACTCCCTCATCGTCTCTCACATCCAATATGGCTTATTAATCTGGGGAAATTCTACCCATATAAATAGAGTCTTTATATTACAAATATTATAAAATTAAATATGCTTACAATTTATTCAATGTACATCTATCAGAGCCTTGTTGAGATTCATAAGAACAAGCATAAATTCTCAATGCACTCGGATGTTCATGGATATAACACCAGGCATTCCAATCTACTTCAACCTAGCGCTCACAGGCTAAAGATCTCAGATAAAAACTCACTTGATGTCAGGGTATATAACCAGCTAAAAACACTACTAAGAATCTTACTTTAAAACATTTTCAAAATACACTTTGGCAAGAATTAGTTAAACATCCTTTTTATTCCTTGAATAAGTTTATCGCGACCCCCCTATGTGTGTGATCTGGCCTACTACACCTTTATATTATATTTTATTTTATTTTTACTAATTATAGTTTTATATGTATTGTATACGTCATCAGTAGTTTTCAAGAAGCTATTTTTATGTGTTATGCATACCAACAATTTTTATGACAAGTGTAAAAACAAATGTTTTGTTAATTGGCACGTTATATATATTCTATTCTAATATAGGGATGGCGACGACAGACAATACATTGATGTATCGAAAACATCGTTACATCGGACGTAGAACATCGATCTTTACGCATCGATGGTTTTATGACGATATATCGATATCGAGAGGAATCATAAACATCCGTAACCGTATACCCCGAGTCTATCCTTAACTGTGCTACCATCTCTAAGCGAGGACTGTTAGCTTCGAAATTGAAAGGCCAGAAAGCTATTTAGGTGTTTAGTAGTATTTGAATATACTATATTATCATTACAGACGAGCACTGAGCCACTGAGCAGTGCAGTCTTTTCTTCATTCTGTACTTCCCCAAGGGATAGAATAAAATAGACTGAAAACAGCGCGTTTAATGATTTTCAGTTCTCAGAGAAAGATTTTCCCCTGCCGGCCCTTGACATCGTTTCGAAATATAAAATTCTGGAAACGCTATAAAAATAATAATGAATACACAAAGCCTACTTACCTATTTCAGACAAAAACAAAAACAACTGCCACATAACGATTGTCACCTTGACATCATTCTGCAATCGGCATTCGGCAATCTGCAATCTGCACGGTATACGGTATCAATATTCGATAAAATATTTTTCTTTCTACCATGAATGCGTGGAAAAAACAAAATAAGGAGATATCTAAAATAAGGAGTTATTGGAAGCCTAAAATAGCCAGGCGCTAATAATTCCTGGCCGTATTTGAATATCTAAGCAGGCACAGTAAAACAAAAATAAGACTTGGAATTAATAAAGTTTATTTCGACAGTTGGCAGAGTTTGCTCCACTGGGACGAAGTGTTGACGGATCCCACAGAATTATGTGTCACTTGTCGATATGGTTAGTTTTAAAATATCAGGAGATAATTAGCTGTTATTCAAATCAGTGTAAATGTTTTGTGATCCAAATAACGTCTAATATAAATATAACCCAGAATATGTACTCAGTGGAAAAAGAAAAATATTGCAAATTTCTAGTTTTTCTGCAGGTTTTAGGTTTGCTGGTAGCTCTACGACATATATTTGGGTATTTCTTAATCGCTGTGAATATAGTGTGGATGTTTGTTAAGTTCCTGA